TTATATATGAGCTGTGACTATTGCAAGTAGACATTGTCTGCAGCTGGATATCCAGACAAATGCTGACACCAGGTAAAAAATGGCTAGTCTAGTGCCACCTCTTTATTCCATTTTTCCTTTTCTTCCACTCCATCCTGCTCTTCTACAAAGTAGCCCTAAGTTCCTATCACTCACAACAACAGATCAGCAAGGACTGGCTGCATCCTCAGTCAAGGAGCACAAGCCCAGGAATCCTGTGTCCATCCCCTAGATCCAGGTAACTAACAGAGGCTTCCTACCAGCACAGCAGTGCCTGATTAACCTCACCTGCCCTCCCCGAAGTTATTAGCAGCCTTTTTTCATTTCTGAGAGAGTCTGGGCTGGGGACACACAGTAGGAGCCAGCTGGTCTAAACAGATACCTGACTCAAATGAAGTAGCACAATATCTTGAGCTGGCAAGTACAAAAAACCAGTTACACAGGAGCAGATCTTATAAAAGCGAGATCCTCCCCCACACTGCTCCCCTCCAGCGCCTGGAAGGCTGCAGGTGACAGCAGCTGTGACTTTGCTCCTGCTACTGCCAAGCAAGAACGAGAGGAAGAGGGCAGCTCCTAAAATCCCCTTTTGGTATGTGCAGAGAGGAAGGGGCTGGAGGCACCAGGTTTCTACAGACACCTGTCTGCTCAGAAGCAGATTTCACACGGACCTCTTTGCCAGCCACCGGGGTGGGCTGTTCAATTACACTACAGAAGGGGTTTTTTTAAGGCTATTAGCCAGTATTTTTAAATGTCCCAGCATATCTTTCTTTGGCTCAGAGTTCAGATGTTGCAGACTGTACACAGCAGAAGGTCATCACAGGCACATTTCGCTACAAAGTCCGAAAGAAAAAAAATCCCAATAAAAATATTTTAATACTTGAGCAGCTTTTTAGTTTTCCCATTCCTAGCTGAAGCAGAGACATGTCCAGACTCACACTGGGAAAAAGTTCGATGTGAAGGTCACTGCCTGCCACCTCTGGACCCCAAGTGCTAAACCTGTGACCTCTCGCTTCAGACACTTGGATCTGAGCCATGCAACTGATATTTGCATTCTCTGTTGAGTACTTTCTGAACAATTTCAGCCTGTTTCTGTCTGATTTATGAAAATATGAGCATGCTCTACAGTTGCTTTCATAGCAGCCTGTGCAGGGCAGGATGCCCATTGCAGCCTGGGACCAATCCAACCTGAAGAAACACCCCCAGGTCTTCCAGCCTGGCTGCAGCTCTGGCATTTCACCTAAGTGGGATTGCAAGTCTGCATTTCCAAGCAGGTTCTGGGGTCAGCATTGACCCACAGAGGAAGAGACTTTATGCTTCTTCTGGCTGGGGTTTCTGAAGCCAGACTTCAGAACAAGATTTTCAGAGATACAGAAATCCATCCTTACCCTGCCCCTTCCTGCTTGATCCTTTCCAAACACTTGGACTGACTTCTAGATTCCTGGTTTCAAACCTCCATTTCCCATTTGCTCTGCCTGAGTACACTGAAATGGAATCAGTGAGGAGCTTGTTTTATTAATACATTTGCACTTTAGAGGACCATTTAATCCACAGGCTACATGTTACAGCCTGACTCTTTCCTGCCTGTTAATCTGATTATCAAGGTAAGGACTGAGTAGTGCCCTACAGACCAGCTGGAGAGTCCTGAGTAGGCAGGCGAGACTAAGCCCCTGCCTCTCTTCCTGTGTGTAACCCCTTGGCTTGTCAGGGATCCAGAGCCAGGGCAGTGGTGGCCCTGGAGATGAGCAGCACCCACAGATGCCAATTCTCCTGCAGCTGGCTCCTGTCTCCTCATGGACTGCTCCTTTTCTGCCCACCCTCTTGTAACACGTGAAGGATTTGTGACTTTGCACTTGCCCAGTTTTTCTGGAGTTTCAGCCTGGCCTTCCATGCTGTGTGCAGTGATAAGGTGCTGTGAGCTGGCAGGATGTGCTCCTGCCTCCCGTGCTGAAGGACACGAAACAAGGACTGGGGGCCATGAACCTTTCATGAGCTGGGCAAAGCTGCAAGGAAACCCACTGCCCTGGACAAGGAGCACACATAGAAGTGAAATCTGACACGCAGACTGGTTTGTTTTCAACCTGGGGACGAGTCCTTATCAGCACAGAGGGTCAGTGAGACCTGGAGCATACGCTTGTTGTGATTTATTTTGTCTTGTCTTAGGTCCTATTTCCTACACTGATCGTGCTTTGACTGCCAAAAGTAAGGGGGTTTAGTCTTCTCCCAGTCTTTTCATTTCTATTAGTCTAAATACTGGAGGTACAATTATGGGCAGGAGAAAAATGAGAACAGTGAGAGCATTTGGTTATTTTCTCTCAATAACAATATGCATTTATTAAGTAGGGGAGGGGATTTTTCACTTTGAACATTGTCAGGGTGACATTTGGAAGGGATACAGGTGCAGATCCATCTCTCAGAAAGTGGGATGGGGAAGCAGTAATGGCCAAGTGGTCTCTGGGGAAAACCTGTCCCAGGTCCAAGTCTCCTTCCCTACTGCTGAATCAGGCTGGAGTAGCCACACTCCTGGCTCCCCTTCCTGAGCTCCCTTCTCCTGGGGGCTTAAGTGGTGAGTAGGGGAAAAATCCCCTACTAAAAGATTTGCACTGGAAACCCTTGGCTGAGGAATGACTTTTAAAATAGAAAAGCTCTGCCTGAAAAGGGATGAACCACGTACCATAATACTCAACAAATCGCCTGTTAATGGCCTCTCTTTACAGCAGCTGTGCATTAATAACAAAAGCAGGGCAGCAGAAGCCATGTGCTTCTTTGTAAGATTAAAATAAATACTATTTCATACTAATACCAGCAACTTTCTGTGCCTAAGAGAAAGAAGCAAGTGCAAGATCACAGCTTGAGAGACTTGGTTTCCTTCCCCTTTGTCTGCTGCTGGATGAGGAAATATTTCTGCCATCTATGAAGGGAATAGATACACTGAATCACCCTCCCAGGCAGTGGTTTGGTTTATAGTGGTTGTGGCAGGCTTGTCTCAGACAGTCAACATGACACCATTGTAAAACAGGAGTAATTCCTCCAGAACTACATCTTAGGGGAAACTAGGCTGGGGAGAACTTAATCTAACTTACTTTTCACTTTGCAAAGCATAACACAAGATCCCTACTGCCATAAAGCATAAATTGAAACAACAGTGGTTCACGCTAGACATAAGGAGAAACCTTTTCATCATGAGGACTGCAAGAGCAGAGGAGCAGGTTGCCCAAAAAGGCTGTGCAGTCTCCGTCCTTGAATGATTTCAGACCCAACTGCGTAGAATCCTGAGCAACCTGGTTTGACCTCAGACTTTACCTGAGCAGGGGTTGGGCTCAACACCTCCCGAGCTCCTCTCCAGCCTGAGTTATTTTACAACCCTAGGAACATTTGGCATCTTTTCCAGGGGAATATGAACGGACACAACATTTTGTTCAGCCCAGGACTCCACCTCTCGTTCCTGGCAGTCCTGATAACAGCTCTCCTCCTCCACACCCTGCACTGTGCCAGGCCTGGCACTAAAGCAGTGATGAGTTTTCCCTCCTCAAATTAGGACTTTAGGCGTTAAAAAAAAAAAAAAAAAAAAGAAATGAATTTTACATTTTAAAGCTGTCTGCCACAGACTATTTATCAGACATGGAGAATGACTTGTTTCTGTTTTCCTAGGCATAGGTTTTAGCTGAGCGAGATACGTTGCCTTGCTGAGAGCTGAGTCACTGAGTAATCAACAGATTAATGTATTCAGCTTGAAAGCCATCAGCATCAGTTCTCGGCAAGCTCACAAGAACTCCATTATGGTATCATCCCCACGTTTGGGATGGAAATGTCTCCAGGATTTAGAGTTCCTATGGGAAAACCCCTAGATGCAAAGAAATCAAAGTACCTCTTTGTGATTTGGAGAAATAAGGTACCTCCTCATACAGTAACACCATAGCAGGATTTTGGCATCCCTTCTAGAGAATGCTTTTATTATCAACCCTCAGATAAGGAGTTTGGAGTATGTTGTACATCTGTCATTTGATAGCTACCTAAAAATAGTCATTACAAACTCACTGGCACATAGGACTTTGCCTTTAACAGGTTTTTAATTTGAAATCATTTTATTTCCAGAGAAATCAAGTAGTTTTACCTTCTCTGGGATTGCAGCATGCAAAAAGGGTGGTTTTGACTTCACTCTAGGGTTCTGAGTTCCTCTGTGTGGGCTTGGTCTGAGCCAGAAATGCAATAAGGCAAGGCAGAGGCTGGCAGGGGCACCTCACAGAGGAGCCACTGTTTAAAAATAGGGAGCTGGTGAAAGTAATCACAGACTAGCAACTGTAAAAGGACAGGCTGGCCTAGGTGTGTGGTACGAGAAGGCTGCCAAGCATCACATAGCTGTTCTGATAAGACAGATGCCAGTGCTGCTGCCTAAGAGCCTGTCCATACCAACCTCGCTGAAGTAATACATCCCCTTGTTTGCAACTGAAATTGCTGTTTGGGTACACTTAAATGGGGCATGTGCAAGTAGAAGCCAGTCAAGCCTCAATCACGTTAATCCTAAAAGCTTTCCTACATTAGCAGGCTGGTAGAAGAGCTTTGAATGGCAGCAAGACTTCTCCCTGATTCATCAGTCCATGCAGCCTGTGTGTCCAGCACAACCACAGCACACATGTTCTCACTGCTCTCTCAAATCTATCAGTAGATCTATCTAGGCTGTCCCTAGACAACAGATTATTTTTCTTACTTGGCCTGACTGGTGCCAGGGCATGAGAGATCGTGGCTTTTGTGACACAGTGGCCCCCAGGGCTACACTTCCCAGCCTAAGTGTACAAATGGCACATCACATGCAACCGTGTCTCTGCTGTACAAAATGCATGTGCAAGAGGCATACAACAGTGATGAAAATCTCCCCTCCCTCCTTATCCCTCCAAGGTACTGAGATTGTGCAAATGCCTCCTGTTATGGTCTGCAGTCTCTGGTGCTCAGCTGTCTGTACCCAAGCAGAGGCGATTTCAACTTACCCGTCGCTCCTTATCACCATACTCAATGCCCAGGGTGTCCATGGCACGGACAATAGCTGCCAGTGACTGTATAGTGTTGCTGTACACCACTGGCTTGTACTGCTTCACGTCTTCTCCAGAGAAGCCGTCCTCATGGATGATCCTGAAGAAAATGCAAAGGACAAAAACTCTTGAGAATGTAATTTCAGTGGGAGAGACATTTAAAAGACAGCTGTGCTCTTCTGAAGAGCACATCTGCTGCCTTGATTCGCTTAATTTAGTCAGCATTTCTTTTTAAACCTTTCTGGTTGTTCAACAGTAGTGTGTCTGAGCCCAGTGCTGGAATTAGCATCCCTTTTGCTCTCTATCAAGAAGGTTTTGTGCACAGTTGGTGCATATGGTACCTCCTTCCCAAACGAACTGCAAACGCTGAAGCCTGGAGCACCTCGTGTTTGCAGGCTCAGCAGACACAGGGAGGAGGTTTCCAGGTCCTACATTACCTTCCCAGTCAAAGTCTATGGAAATATGTTCAACGTGGACAAATAAAAATCACTGAAAAAAGTGATAGAAACCGTCTAGTTCTTGTCTAGTCCTTTTAGTAAGAGTAACTCCTGGGGTACCTTACAAAAGGAACCATAGTTGAAATACCCCTTTACACTACCTGGGGACTCAGGGACAGAGGGGGAAGTGTCTTGGTTATGAAGCACTTTAAGCACTTAACCTCCACACTTCCTCCCCCCTCCTTCTCTCTCCTTTAGAATAAGTGCTGAGATTTTTTTTACCTCAAGGCATGTTATGTTATCCCTTCCCCAAGCAAGGTGGGAATGTGACCCACAGTCCCACCAGCTCTGCACACTGCATGCTCTGTGTATCAGTCTGTATTAAACTCTGCAAAGGAACTATTTGATGGAGCAAGTTATTGCAGCCCCTTGCTCAGGTCAGAGGACTGACCCCTGTAATTTATAAATCTCTAAGTAACTCCAGAACTAAGTCTGGATGTGTCTCAAAAAACAACTAGGATTTGCAGAACTAATTGTGTCTGACAATAATTCTTCCCAGTGAAGACCTAAGTTATGTCTTAAACGTCGGAAGAGAGGATGATCTGCTTAGCTAAAATGAAATCCTTGTTTGCTCATCTTCAGATGTCACTGGACAGCAGAGGGTTCTTCAGTAACAAATATGGTCTCTGATAAAACCTAACACCTTTTCTGTAACAGCATTTTTGATTTCTTTTTTTTTCTAAATCAGATACACACCATCAAAGATCCTGACAAGTGCTGGCATCCCCTGGGAGAGAGGGAGCACTATCTCACACTGTGAGCTTGCAATAGATACAGTGCTGGGATGGAGAATGGGGCTGGATGCCAGCCCAGTGTTATTAACAGATGACTACACGAAGAACAAGGCTGGTAGAAACATGCTGACCAAGACAGAGATCTCCTTCCCCTGATGTGAAGCTCACAGAAAGGTTTTCTAACACAAGTGACTGACTCCCTGCTGTCCCCACCACAACCTTTGCTTACTCAACACTGAACACTGAGCTTCTGGGAGGAGCTGCTCAACAACCCCTGAGTCCTGGAAAAACATGACTACAAGCAAAGACAGCCTCAGACGGACAATAATCCAAATCAATTGGTGATCAGGAAATTTTTAAGCTACTGATCTGAGGAACTGGGCAGAGCCCCCTGCTTGGGTACCCTCCAGCAAAGGCAAATGGTTCCAGTGTGCTGGAAACAGCACAGGGGATGCTTGTTCCCTCACCTAAGCTGATGAGAACAGGGATGGATGAAAACCTTTCTGACTTAGTAAATCCACGCTTGCCAATTTGCAAAAAAAAAAAAAAAATTCGATAGCTTGTTTTGATTTTGATGGAGTTATGGGCAACAGCAGATCTTGTACTCTGTAGCTTTTTTCTGTGAATCCAGTGATTGTGGTGAGGTTTGGAACAGTAGCATTTCAATGATGGGGAAGGAGGCAGGGCAGAAGAGCCATGTATCAGCACTGGATCTCATGGATCATTTACTGTTACTCAGACAAGTTGCTGAACTTCTGGGAAATGTGTTCTTTGCCAAAAGGAGCAGTCAACCTCAAGAGTTATGGGTGGCACAAAGCAAAAGGATCTGCATCAATTCTGTCTGAATTCAAGACAGACTGTACAGCACCACTTCCTCCCAGCTCTGAGCATGACAGCAAGCATCCCAGCAGAGCAGGGGTCCCATGGGAGGCAGGCAGGCAGTTCATGAAAGCATCACCAGGAATAATTAATTCTTTCTGGACGGGTGGCTTATGGCTGGATTTTGGGGCAAGCAAGATTAAATGCTGGGTTTTGGGCAACTAAGAGAAGGAAACATAAGAGGGGAAAAAGAAAACGGTGAGGGCAGGCACAAGGAGCAGTGTAATGGCCTCAAGAGGATGCTGCTAAAATTTGTTTGGTCCAGCTGTTGGTCAGGCTGGTGGGGAGGGGAGTGATGCCCACAGCTTGGGCTGGATTTGTTTCTGGCTTTTACTGATAGGCATCAACTCAGGAATTCAGAAGGCAAAAAGAGTGCTGAACAGCTCTATGAGGAAAGATGTGAGCTTTGGTTCCTTGTCTTCCTCAGAGTTTAAACCGTTTTTAGCTTTGTGCCATGAAGCTGATGCCTAACATTTCCACTTCTAAATACTCCAAACTATTAAGCTCCCTATCCAGTAACAGGGCTCCTTGTGCTGAAGGGGCAGAGTTAGGGGATGGAGGGTGGCTCTGGGATCCCTCAGTGAACACACTGCAGCTGGGAAACAATGCTGCCGTCCTTCAAACACAGAAGTAAAACCGGCACTTTTAAAGGGGGCAGAGAGAGCATAGAGAAAAAGCACCCTGATTGTTCCTGTGAGAAATCTCTCTAGAAGGCAGCCATGGTGACTGAAAGCAGCACTGTGAGTGCCAGTATGGATGGAGGTTTTGCTGTAGGAAGTACCTATGGATTAATCAATCATGCAGCGAGCATGTTACCTAATATTTCAGCGAGCAAATCCCCCCTGACTCCTGCTCCAAAGCCTGCTAGGACACTGTGAACTGGTTTATTGTCCTATATGCATTTCACAAATGTTTCTCCATTTGCTTGCCTTGGCAATCTGATGGCTCCAGTCCTGTAGCAGCTTTTTCCATAGTCCTTTGGAAATGTTCATGCTGTTCACCTGTTTGGGATACGCATTTCTTCTTGCCTGCTGTTGTGCTTTACTGTCTAGAGCACATTTAAAGCTCCAACACTATTCCTGGGAGGTATCCTGGGACATGGCTCAAGCCAGCTCCTGGTGCCACAGGACAGGAGAAGCAGTGGGGTTTGTGTGCTGTAGTGAGCTGTGATCATTAAAAAAATATAGGTGTATGAACTAACAGAAGCGACAAGCATGCAAAGACTGTAAAGTCTTTACAGGTTTAGGCAGGGTGGGCTACTCCTTAATCAACCTGCAAATTATGGAAGCAGAGGATTTTCAGCACCAAAAATGTGTCCAAATGACAAAGGAAACTGCTGCATGCAGGTTCCTCTTTGCCACACTAGAACTGGTTCTCTTCAGGGCAAAGGAAGAAAAGGGATTTAAAAGGATCCCCAGGGGCTGTGGAGGGGGGAGAAAGTGCTGTAATTTAAAAAAGTGATTCTGAGCAATTAAAAAGCCATTTCATTCACCAAGTGACTAATAAAACACTGTGCTCTGAAGGGAATGGTGAGAGACAACTGAAGCAACCTGGTTGCCTAAGGTACCCATTAATGCCTGCTCCCCATCCCTCAGCTGCTAACAGCAAAACCCATATGTTGGCATGTTGTGTTGTACTCATTTCAGAATGGCAGTAACAGGCAGGTATTTGCTGGAGAAAATGGTTCCACCGCAGATCAGATCCTCTGCCATCCCCCAGCAAGTTGTTAATGCTGAAGAAGTGCCCAGTGCCTCAGCAATTATTGCTTAATTACAAAATAAATGAAATACTTGGAAACAGGGGGTGCATTCTGCGTAGCAGCTTGCTTTGGCTTCTGTTCAACAAAGCACTTACGTGCCTTCAGCCTCTCACTACACAGTGAATGCACTAAGAAGGCAAAGGCAGAGACGATTTTGCCGCCTGTCCCTGCTGACACGCACGGCCCCTGTGGCTGTGGAACAGCAGCTCTGAACAAAGCCCACCACAGCCCCAGGGCAGCAGGGCTGGAGCTCAGCTGGGGCTGATCCCACCAAGGACACAGCTTGCCCAGGTCACTCCTAAGGGAAATACTTGTCCATCATCCTGAAAACCTCCTGGAGCAGAGGCCACAGTCACCATCATTCCCATACATCAGTTCCAGCCAAGCTATTCTGGTGCTTTCCTTCCAGCCCTTCCAACCTGAGTCAGGTTCAGTCAGCACACTGACACTTCCCTACACCTTCTCCAAGCAGGTCCTCCTCCTCTTTTTTGAGGCACAGTGCCCCAGACTAGAGCCAGTCCTCACATCTCCAGTCTGCCAAGATAATTTGAAGCTGTAAAGTTTATCCTCTGATGTGCTGAAGCAACTGTCCCAGCTTCATATCACTGCCAGGGGTAGGTAATGATGTATTTCCATCCATTTTCACCGATGAAAATTTAGAAGGAAATTGACACAGACCCCACTGGAGTCCTGGCTGACAGTCCTGTGCTCTGACCATAATCCATTGGTAACTGTATACTTTGGGAATGAGTTGTGTTACTCACCCATTTTTGTGTAAGACCTATAGTAGGTTTATCTGCACTATTTTTCCAGGTCACTTTTTAAAAATCCAGTGGGACTCTGACAAACCCTTCCTAAAATCTAGATATGGCACAAATTATTGCTCTCCTACTTTGGCTGAGAAATCAAATGAGACTACTTTAACATGCCTCATTTTTGTATAATCCATGCTGTATGTCACTCATCTCCTTTTTTATCTCCTAGGTGGTTGCAAATTATATGATTGATAGTTCAATTCTCTTGAAAGCTTCTAGAAGTTGACTGGTCTATAATTCTTACTCCTCTTTTCTCCCTCTATATTTAGAGAGAGGCACCATGTTTACATTTTTTCCCTGTCTTCTGGTGCCTCACCTGCCCTCCAAGAGCTCTCAAGGAGAAGTGTTTGTATTTCTGAGATGGCGCCTGTAAGTATGCACTAAGAATTTCTTTAAACATGGCTGACCTGAAGGCA